CGTATGATAAGGGTTTGCCGTTAATTCTGGTTTTCAAAATTATATCGTAACTACACATTTAGTAAATAATTCAAAACTAAATAGTAAATTTAATCGAATTAATGGTTTTTATGCCATACTTTAAGGTATCATGATAAAATTAACAAATTTTACCGATTTTACTAACGAAAAATTCAGTTTTCCTTGAAAACAAACTACTCGAATGTGCGATAATGCATTCAAATGATGTAATTCTTTGGTAGGGAGGGATACGCGATTAAAAATGATAAACGTATATACATCTCACACAAAGAAAATTTTTTTTGTAAAATTACCGTACTTGTAAGGTAATAATATTACAAGTAAAAAGCAAACAACAGAATTCTGGTAAGGAAGTCGAAAAATTCGATGTGCGAACTATTTATTTCGTAATTTTTCCGTACGCATGATAAGGGTTTGTCAAAAATTCTGGATTTTAAAATTATATATAGTTCTTATTACCCACACATTTCAAAACATTACAAAACTAAAAAGTAAATTTAAACGAATAAATGGTGGCCATGCTTTAAGGTATCATGATAAAATTTCTAAATTTTACCACTTTTACTACCAAACAGTATGGTATTAGAATGATATATGAATATTTTATTTTTATTTAACCTAAAAGCTTTGGTAAAAATTAAAAATGTTATTAACTTTTCTGCCTTGTTTTGCCATTTGGCAACAATAATAATATATTGTTCCTTATAATTATTGCCGCCAAGAAAATTAAAACGTTCATAATTGCTTAGTAATGAACTATGACCTGCAAAAAAATTGTTAATTAAAATATTCATTTACAAACATTTTGCTCTAGAAATTATATTTACCTCATCAATGTTAAAATAAAATTGTTTACGCTTGGTGTTTGATTTTTAATGGCGAGCTATATGAAAGGCCAGTTATAGTAAATACGTGAGTAGTGGCCCTGGACTGTCAAAGTGAAGAACTGAGGTTCGATCCCTAATGACAGCTTGAATCCCACCCGATCGATGGATACCAGATTGTCTGGGAAGTAAAGGTGGACACGTGTAATGCTGACCGCATGGCCACAATCTTACCGTTGGTTACGAAATTTTGGAGCCTTAACATTCATGACCCCCTCACTGGCCTACAACTGGCTGTTGCGGGAAAGTTTGACTTTTTTTTCTTTCCTAACACGTTGAATGCCACGCTAATTTTACATGGCTTACCCGTCCGAAATTATTTTCTCAGTATGTATTACAGTAATTTCTTCAAACCATTTTAGTAACGATAACAATATAAAAAAATTAAAAGCATTAAAAATTTACTCGAATTATGTGTTTCTAATAATCTTGGCTTTGTCGGTCACCGGGGACCTCCGTGGATCTACGAACAAACTCGGTGCCGGTCACCGGTGATCCCCGTCGCGCTACGAACAAACTCAGTGCCGGCCACCGGTGACCCCCATGGCATTCAATGTGTTAATGGCGATTGACAAAAATAATTCAAAGGAAATTTCTTTTCATTCAAACTAGTTGAAATTAGTTTATATTGGTTCACATGGGTTAGAATTGGAATGTTAATTTTATAAATAAAAATTTACTTTGCATCATATTTACGATGTTAAAAGTGGAAATTTCACAATTGCATTTATACAATGTTAATATTTCGTAAGTTTTTAAAAGCAGTTTTAAGCAAAAACAAATTATTTTAAAATCTTAGTGAAACATACATGACAAATTTATGGCAGACAAATAAAAAAATTTCTATATTGAGCGTGATTTTATTTGAATAATAAAAAAAAAAATATATCGAATAGAAACGCCGGAAGTAAATTAATGCATGTCATTTCTGAGAGCCAAAATATTAAAAAGCTAGCAGTTTTATCCCTCATATTTAAAAATCATTTTTAAAAAAACTGTCAGAATGTCAAATCATTTTATTCTTTTTTAAAGATCATTATTCTTTTTATGTTTTACTTCCATTAGCGTATAACTTCTCAAAATGATAGAAGCTCTATTTTTTGCCACCTTCTTAAAACCGAGCAAAAAATGATTGCTCATATTGGTAGCTCCAATATGGGAGGTAGTTAAAAAAAAGAAAAGAAAAAAGAAGCTAGCCATAACCGTAACTAAAAGGGCTGCCCACCCCCTCGATACTGACGATGTGGCACTCCAATCTGACAGCTCCCCGTCAGGTGTGTCCATGGTACAAGCTGTACGCCAACCCATCCCTGGCTGGAGTATTTTAAAAAGATTCTTTTAATCCACCTTTTGAAGTTTTTCAGATTCTTATTTTTTTGTGTTTTTGATAATGAAAAGAGTGTCGGCTCTCCCGCTGGGAATTTTGAAGAGGAGTGACGGCTTCGTGGTGGGTGTCCCAAGTGACGTTCTCGCTTGCTGCATTCCATACGTCTTCAAGTCCTTGAAGTGTATTAGAAGATAGTTTATTATGTATCTGAGTGCATCACATCCCTCAACCCTATTGTGAATAATCCCTCATATCATTTGGATTGAAAGGAAGATGTGTTTCATAATAACTTTTTGAAAGATCCTCGGCTATTTAAAACATCATTAATAAACATTTCTGTAGTTCATCGTTTACAGTTTTAAAATGGTTTATGGATTGTTAAAGACATCAAAAATTTCTGTAGCCATTATTTACGATTATAGATTTGTTTACAGTGACCAATTAAGACACCAAAGCATATTTAAAGTTTGTGTAGCTATCATTTACAGCTAATGATTTGCTTATTATGACTGCTTAAGACGACAAAAATATTTAAAATTTTCTGTAGTCACTATTTACAGCTAACGGTTTGCTGGTTATATCTGTTAAAGACATCAAAAAGAAATATTTAAAATTTCTGTAGTCATTAATTACAGGTGAAGATTTGCTTATCATGACCAATTAAGATACCACAGCATATTTAAAATTTTCTGCTGCAATCATTTACGGCTAAAGATTTGCTTATTGTGTCTATTTCAAAGGAAAAAAAATATTGAAATTTTCTGCTGCAATCATTTACAGCTAAAGATTTGTTTATTGTGTCTATTTCAAAAGAAAAAAAATTATTAAAATTTTCTGCTGCAATCATTTACAGCTAAAGATTTTTTTATTGTGTCTATTTCAAAAGAAAAAAAATTATTAAAATTTTCTGTAGCAATCATTTACAGCTAAAGATTTGTTTATTGCGTCTATTTTAAAAGAAAAAAATTATTAAAATTTTCTGTAGCAATCATTTACATCTAAAGATATGCTTATTATGTCTCTTTAAGATGACAAAAAATATCTAAAATTTTCTGTAGCAATCACTTACAGCTAAAGATTTGCTTATTGTGTCTGTTTAAAACGACAAAAAATATTTAAAAATTTCTGTAGCAATCACTTACAGACAAAGATTTGTTTATTATGTCTATTTAAGACGGAAAAAATATTTAAAATATACGGTAGCCGTCATTTACAGCTGCTAAAAATTTGCTTATTATGTCTGTTTCGGACGACAAAAATATTAAAAATTTTCTGCAGCCATCATTTAAAACTAAAAATTTGCTTATAAGACTAGAATAATTTAGGGAAATCAAAGTTCTTTTACAGGTGCGCATGAACAGCCAGTTCATTTTATGAGGAGCATGACAATTCCGGGAATGGGTTACTATGCAATTCTCTATTCCCATGATGTGCTTGCTGTTTCTCTCTTCTAAGTTTCTGATAGCTGAACTGAATTCTTTAGTATATTTTATTCGTATACTTATAAAATGATATTTTCTATTTCAGTTTTATACTCTGATGTTTATCTTCAAAATTTTGAAAAAAAACATTGAGGGCGTGTTTTCACAAGGAACTGGCGGAGACAAAAATGATAACTGGATGACAAGCGAAACGCGTTAAAGAGTAGTTTCGAATCACAGATTGAAAATAAAACCTTGTAAGTACATTTAAATCCATTAATGTTTTTTTTTTGTTTGTGATAAAACATAGAGGTAAAATCCAGTATACTTAACACGCTTGGCGCTATTTTGAAAAATGTTTTCAACGCCAAAATGATGCTTGTCGCCTAACTGTTGGTATACCGAACGGTGATTTTCCTATGAAACGAAATTTAACGACCCCCTCTCCTGTTTCTTAAATGAAAAAAAAGAAAGAAAAAAAAAGAAAAAAAACTTGATTCCTGACTTGTTTTTAGTGCAGTTAACAAATTTTAAAAGAAATAAAAGCTTGCATTATAATTGCGACAAAATACAGCCATGAGGGAAATTTCCAAAAAACATAGCAAATCGTTAAAGGCCTCTAAATTGTAAATAGGTAGGGTAAAGGTATATCGGGCAGCTGTACTAAAAGATCAAAACTGAAACTAAATTATTTAAAAAATATTTGACTATCAAAACTGCAACTATATATTATTCTTATATTTATTATAATTATTATTAATACAGAGAAAATATTAGTTTATTAAAATATTTTCCTTTGAATTTTCTGAACAAACGATTTATGTTGAGGTTTCGATTTAGAAAATTTTCATAATTTGAATAGTATTTTTATTCAATAATAAATTCTTCTTCTTTTTTATTATGTTTATGAGGATACAATTCTAAAAAAATAATAATTGTAATTATTTTTAATGAAATATGTATCTTTTGCTCATTTATAATTCCACAGCGCTATTTAACGAAAAAGCATAAAAACAAAATACGAAAAAGTATATTGGAAAGTTATAAACTAAATAGAATAAATATTTTTTATTAAGTCTGAATAATTTTTAAAGCAGGAATTTTACTAAGATTCCGGTTAAAAAAAATAAGACTGATTCTGAGTCTGAGTCATACCGCATCATACTAGCGAGAATGCAAATGACCACATAATATCTTAAGATTAGCAGCTCTCAACGAAACAGGGATAAAATATAGTTAATTATCTTAAGTAACTACCTATGTTTTAACCGAACCACCAACCAATCACAAGCTAGCACGCTTACAAATAACAATCATAGTGTTAGGTAACATCTAAAAATACTTAACCTGGATCTGAATTGCTTCCTAAAATGCATAATAATTATACAATTTGTCTCTTATCTTTGCAAATATGATTTCATAATGTTTTAAATTATTCGATATTGCAGGAATTTTATACAAAACTTTAGGTTAATAATAGATATGATTCGTAATCTTGTGGTTAGGGGAGAGAACAACAGCTGGCATTCGAATCACGTACGTTTGTGTGGTTAACTGTAAAATTCTAATCGAAAATTCGAATTCAAATGTGCTTTTTCAAAATTCTATTTTTTTTTTCTTTCGCATACTTGTTGACACTCGTACCAGGTGGTATATTTTTAACAGGCAAAACCTCTCCAACCACAAGGAACAGAAGAAAAAAAATTAAAAAAATGACATGATGTTCTATCACCTGCGTGGCACGCCAAGCAATTATGCGACAGTTAAAAAGGGCTGACGGTGATAGAAGATGGGAAAGCGCAGAAGATAAAATAGAACAAAAATAAAATTTCTTTTTTTCTTTTTGAGTAACGGAGTCCTTTTTATAAACGTTAAGTTTATCGGTTGTCATTATATTTCGTCCACTTCCGTTCTTCTGTTCTTCATTGAGATTCTAGTCGAATAACTCGAGATTAAGGCAAACTGGAAAAATGGCGGATGTGATTGGACGGTAGGAAATGATCAAGAAATGGAAAATCGAACATGATATTGAGAGAAATGATCATGAAAGAACTTTTGCCGAAGAAAGCTCAACACTGTGAGGAATTGGATGACATGGGTTCATATTAGAAACTGATTTTTGCCCACTAGTATCTGGGTTCGCTATATCTTAATGACTCAAATTTAAGTCATAGTTTTTATTCCTATAACTTAAATTATTAACAACGAAAATGTAATGAACATCCTTTTTTACAATATTATATCACCAATAATCAGTTATAATTAAATTAAAACCTTCCTTTATTTTTTTTTCTAATATTATAAAAGTTTGAATCTTATGTGGACAATTATGATTAAACTGAAGGAAAATTTTTCCAAACTTCTAAAAACAGCAAAAAATAAAGTTGCGCTAATGTTTAATACTAGATTGCCATAAAAAAGTCGTTTTGACTGCTTTTTAATTTCAATTAGAAAAGCAATGATGCATATAATGACACAATTTCTTGGAATTTTTTGACTTCTTGTACAACATATGATTTTTTTTTGTTTATATTTACTAACAACTTGTTATATAACTGCAAATAATATAAAAAATATTAAAAATTAATTTTAAGCAAATTTCTTTACACATTAGTTATTCTTTCACAATCCAGTCTTTTTGAGTGCTTTTGGGCAATATAAGTATATACTTAGTATCAGTCTTTCTAGTTTTTTAAGTATAAATTTTCCTTTTCACAATTTGGATAAATTATGACTATTTTTAAAAAATGCTTCATGGCAATTTTTTTTAATCTCTTTTTTAAAAAAATATAAGATTTGAAAAGGTGGGTAATTTTTCGCACTGTGGTTTGTATCGTATTCAGTACGGTTGAAACTTGTTGTTGCATTAAAGACGTTTTTAAAAATATATACATGTATATTTTTAAAAACAAAACTGTTTAATGAAATATTTTCTTCATAAAGAATATATTCCAACAATTCAAGAAATATGATAAATTTCGGAGAAAATTCTATCACTTATATTGTTGTATTATCACTTGTTGATATATTTTTTTAAAAATATCTGTACAAATATTTCACTAAAATGAAATATTTTCTTCATGAAACATAAATATTTCAACAATTAAAAAATATGATAAGTTTCGGAGAAAATACTATCACTTATATTGTTGAAGTATCACTTGTTGACATATTTTTTTAAAAATATCTGTGCAAATATTCTGCTAAAATGAAATATTTTCCTCAGGAAAAATAAATATTTCAACAATTAAAAAAAAATTATGATAAATTTTGGAGAAAATACTATCACTTATATTGTTGTAGTATCACTTGTTGATATATATATTTTTTTAAATCTCTGCACAAATATTCCGCTAAAATGAAATATTTTCTTCATGAAAAATAAATATTTTAACAATTAAAAGAATATTATAAATTTCGGAGAAAATACAATCACTTATATTATTGTAGTATCACTTGTTGATACATGTTTTTAAAATATCTGTGCAAATATCCCGCTAAAATGAAATATTTTCTTCAGGAAAAATAAATATTTCAACAATTAAAAAAAATTATGATAAATTTCGGAGAAAATACTATCATTTATATTGTTGTAGTATCACTTGTTGATATACATATTTTTTTAAATCTCTGCACAAATATTCTGCTAAAATGAAATATTTTCTTCGTGAAAAATAAACATTTCATCAATTAAAAAAAAAAAGATAAATTTTGGAAAAAAACAGAATTATTCGTATTGTTGTATCACTTGTTAATATGCTTTTTCAAAATATCTAACATATATTCCGCAATATTTTTCCTCATGAAGAATAAATATTTAAACTACTAGAAAAACATAATAAATTTTGGAGAAGATAGTATCACTTGTACTAATTATTTTGCACTATAAAACGAAATTTTCCACTATAAAATGAATATTTTCTTTTTAAAAAGAGGATGCTGTCCAATAAGAAACGCTTAAATATAAGGACATATGAAATTAGTATTTCGAATTTCCAATCATTGCATGAAACTATATATTTTTGTACGTTTTTGATTTATAACAAAAGGTTTGTAAACTTTTGAGTCCCAAATCTATGTATGACCCAGAATTTGCTATATGCATTTTGAGTCCTGAGTTGATAAAATAAGCACTGATTTGAGTTATAACAGACATTTAATACATCAGATCATGGGTAACTAGTGCATAGAAGTAAATTGTCTTAACGTTTTCTGCTATAATATATCTAATTTATTACAAAAGAAAATATATAGATCATGGGTAACTAGATGTATTAACTAAATATTGAAATATATCAGATCATGGGTAACTAGTGAATAAGAGTAAATTTTTTTAAAAATTTCCTGTTACAATATAACAGATATATTACAATAGTAAATATCACGGGTAACTAAATGATAGATGATACATCTAGATCATGGGTAACAAGTGAATAGCAGTAAATTGTTTCAACATTTTCTATTATAATACATCAGATATATTATAATAGAAGTGAATAGGAGTAGTTTTTTTAAAATTTTCTGTTATAATATGTCCGATATATTATAATAGAAAATATCTAAATCTTGGGTAACTAGATGTATTATAACTAAATATTGAAATGTATGAGATCACGGGTAACTTGTGAATAGGAGGAAGTCTAAAATTTTCTATTATAATATAACAGATATATTATAATAGAAAATATATATTTTATGCGTAACAATATGTATTATAACTAAATATTGAAATGTATCATATCGTGGGTAATTAGTGAATAGGAGTAGTTTTTTTTTTAAATTTTCTATTATATGTCCGATATATTATAATAGAAAATATCTAAATCTTGGGTAACTAGATGTATTAATTAAATATTGAAATGTATCAGATCACGGGTAACTTGTAAATAGGAGGGATTTTAAAATTTTCTATTACAAATATATCTGATATATTATAATAGAAAATACATAGATCATGGGTAACTAGATGTATTAACTAAATATTGAAATGTATCAGATAATGGGTAACTAGTGAATAGGAATAATTTTTTTTAAAAATTTTCCATTGAAAGTTTATTTATATTAAAAAAAAGTTCGTGCCAACACATCTTTCCAGGAAACTGCCCTTTGACAGGTTTTCGTAGAATGGCCAGATATCGCTTTTATTGCATCCTGCTCTATCCGTGAGCCCTCGACGACCGCGGAACGGACTGTCTGATCATTGCATTTTTTATCTACATATATCAAATAATTTCCGGGCAAAATTGTTTCTCTCTCATGTACGACATAGTATAAGGTTTCAAAATATGCAATTAAAAAAATCTATTCTTTTTTAAAAAATATTTCTAGACCAAAAGAAAAAAACCTAAACTTCATATCCTATATTTCCTGACTAACATAGATTTATTTACCGATATAATTAAAATTCCTTTAATTTCAATATTTGACTTTTTTTAAAAATTCAAATAAAAAAGAAATTTCGGATCAGCATTCGAACATAGTCCAAAACATATTTTTAAAAAATTGAACATAGACAAAAAAATATTAATAAAATCTAAAAGTCAAATGTTTCCAATTTTTATCCCGTCCCCTGTGGTCAAGTGAAACATTCAACTCATTTGCACTTTAGGAAGATAAAATAAGCAAAAGAACGGAAGCCCTTGAGGGTTATTTATTAAAGCACCATCTTGAAAGGAAGTGTCATTAAGCCTTTTAGATACCAAAGGCTTCTTTTTTTTTCCTCACCAAATCGCTGAGAACTTTCATTGGCTATTGATGATACTGCTTTTTCCTTTCTTTAGAGCCATTCAAGGACAGCTATGATTGCTCATAATTTGGTATATTATGGTGACATTCAGTTTAGGGAACGGTTTCTCTCATCTTTTTTTTATTTCATTCTTTTCATTTTGTAGTGTCATTAGGTTAAGAATGGGTTAGGAAGACATTACGTCGTGAGAAAGCAGCTAATTGGATATGCGCGGTCAACGAGCTACGTAGATACGTTAGTTTTTTTTTAAATTTTTATTTGGTTACGACCACCCTGAGAATGTTGACAAAGTGAAACTATGGGAATTAATAATATGGCAACTTCCCTAGTAACAATTTTATCCTGACTCCAGTTTGCCTCAAAATTGACTCGATATGGGTCCTATATATGAACATGCACCGAGGGATCAGTATTGAGCTGTCTAGATTTCTTTAATATGGGTCCTATACAGGACCAATATCGGCCTTTGTGGGATCAATATAGAGCCTATAGTGGCTGAAAAATGAATATAAAATATAGGGTGAATTTGACAATTCTATATAGGGCCTATATTGGTTGTGAAATATCTGGAAAATATCGAGTGAATCTTACAATTCTATATATGGCCAATATCGGAAAAATAGCGGCTTTTTGAATCCTTATTGAGCCAAATTCGTTAATATTGTTCCAATAAGGTCACGAGTTTTTTTTCTGCTGAGGTTATAG